TGACACTAAGCCCATCCTGATTTTTTAAAGAAATAAAAATAGCACTTTTGTAGGTATTACAGGTGTTATAAATATTACAAAAAGTTTATTAAAAATTTGTCTTTTAAGATTATTAGTTGCCTGTGTATACAAAGGCTGTTGATTTTTGTGCATTGATTTTATATCCTGCTACTTTGCCAAACTCTTCTATGAGTTCCAGTAGTCTCTTAGTAGAGTTCTTTGGATCCCCTAAATAAAGAATCATATCATCTGCAAAGAGGCAGATGATACATACACAGGCAATGCCACGGCTGAGGAAGAACTTCTAAGATCAATCCTGTTCACAATAGCTACAAAAACAATCAAATACCTTGGAATAAACTTAACCAAGGATGTTAAGGATCTCTACAATGAAAATTACAAAACCTTAAAGAAAGAAATTCTGGATACCAAAAAATGGAAAAATCTTCCATGCTCATGGATTGGAAGAATCAATATCATCAAAATGTTCATTCTCCCAAAAGCAATTTACAGATTCAATGCAATACCAATCAAAATACAAAAGACATTCTTCTCAGATCTGGAAAAAAATGATGCTGAAATTCATATGGAGACACAGGAGACCTCGAATAGCTAAAGCAATCTTGTACAACAAAAACAAAGCTGGAGGCATAACAATACCAGATTTCAGGACATACTACAGGGCAGTTGTAATCAAAACAGCATGGTACTGGTACAGAAACAGATGGATAGACCAATATAACAGAATAGAAACACCAGAAATCAATCCAAGCATCTACAGCCAACTTATATTTGAGCAAGGATCTAAAACCAATCCCTGGAGTAAGGACAGTCTATTCAATAAACGGTGCTGGGAAAATTGGATTATCATGTGCAGAATCATGAAGCAAGACCCCTACCTTTTACCTTACACAAAAATTCACTCAACATGGATTAAAGATATAAATCTATGACCTGACACCATCATATCATTAGAGAACATTGGAGAAACCCTGCAAGATATAAGTACTGGCAGAGACTTCTTGGAAAAGACCCCAGAAGCACAGGCAGTCAAAGCCAAAATTAACATTTGGGATTGCATCAAATTGAGAAGTTTCTGTACTGCAAAAGAAACAGTCAGGAGAGTGAAGAGACAACCAACAGAATGGGAAAACATATTTGCAAACTATGCAACAGATAAAGGGTTGATAACCAAAATCTACAAAGAAATCAAGAAACTCCACAACATCAAAACAAACAACCCACTGAAGAGATGGGCCAAGGACCTCAATAGACATTTTTCAAAAGAGGAAATCCAAATGGCCAACAGGCACATGCAAAAATGTTCAAGATCACTAGCAATCAGGGAAATGCAAATCAAAACCACAATGAGGTTTCACCTCACCCAGGTTAGAATGGCTCACATTCAGAAATCTACCAACAACAGATGCTGGCGAGGATGTGGGGAAAAAGGGACACTAACCCACTGTTGGTGGGAATGCAAACTGGTTAATCCACTGTGGAAGTCAGTCTGGAGATTCCTCAGAAACCTGAATATAACCCTAACATTCAACCCAGCCATACCACTCCTTGGAATTTACCCAAAGGAAATGAAATTGGCAAATACAAGAGCTATCTGCACATTCATGTTTATTGCACCTCAATTCATGATAGCTAAGACCTGGAATCAACCTAAATGCCCATCAACAGTAGACTGGATAAAGAAATTATGGACCATGTACTCTATGGAATACTATACAGCAGTCAAAAACAATGAAATCCAGTCATTTGCAACAAGATGGAGGAATCTGGAAAACATTATGCTGAGTGAATTAAGCCAATCCCAAAGGGACAAATATATGTTCTCCCTGATCGGCAACAACTAACTGAGCACCAAAGGGGAAACCTGTTGGAGTGAAACGGACACTATGAGAAACAGTGACTTGATCAGCTCTTGTCCTGATTGTTGATGTAATACTTTATCCCTTTTAGTATTTTTTTTTTTGCTTTGTTAGTACTATTGGTTGAACTCTGTGATTAACACACAATTATTCTTAGGTGTTTAAATTTTAACTGAAAGTGATCCCTGTTAAATATAAGAGTGGGAATAAGAGAGGGAGGAGATGTACAATTTGAGATATGCTCAATCGGACTTGCCCCAAATGGTAGAGTTAGAAACGTGCCTGGGGATTCCAATACAGTCCCATCAAGGTGGCATGTATCAATGCCATCTCACTAGTCCAAATGATCAATTTCAGTTCACAATTGATCACACTGATAGGTCTAAGAGTCAAAGGGATCACATTAACAAGACTAGTGTCTGCAAATACTAACTGATAGAATAAAAAAGGGAGAGAACGATCCATCATCGGAAGCAGGATACACAGGAGACTCATAGAATGGCAGATGTCCTAAATAGCACTCTGCCTCAGAATCAGCCCTTAAGGCATTCGGATCTGGCCGAAGAGCCCATGAGAGTATTTTAGGCATGGAAAGCCAAGACACTCTGGAAAAAAAAAAAAAAAAAAAAAAAAGACGACGACCTAAATGAAAGATCTCTGCAAGTGAGATCCCAGTGGAAAGAACAGGGCCACCAAAGAAGGAGGTACCTTTCTCTGAAGGGAGGAGAGAACTTCCACTTTGACTATGACCCTATCGGAATAAGATCGAAGTCAGCGAACTCAAAAGGCTTCCATAGCCTTGGCAACTCATGACTAGAGCCTAGGGAGATTACTGACGCCATACACAAGAGTGTCAAATTGTTAAGTCAACAACAGGAGTCACTGTGTACTTACTTCTCATGTGGGATCTGTCCTTAATGTGTTGTCTAATGTGAAGTAATGCTATAACTAGTACTGAAACAGTATTTTACACTTTGTGTTTCTGTGTGGGTGCAAACTGATGAAATCTTTACTTAATACATACTAAATCGATCTTCTGTATATAAAGATAATTGAAAATGAATCTTGATGTGAATGGAATGGGAGAGGTAGCGGGAGATGGGAGGGGTGTGAGTGGGAGGGAAATTATTGGGGGGGCAGCCATTGTAATCCATAAACTGTACTTTGGAAATTTATATTTACTAAATAAAAAAATAAGAAAAAGAATAAAAAAAGATTATTAGTTGCAAAGTTTTCTAACAACTGATTCCTTTAAGATAGTTTTTTTTAAAGATTTATTTATTTATTTGAAAGTCAGAGTTACAGAGTTGGCGGGGGGTGTGTCTTCCATCCACTGGTTCATTCCCCAGTTGGCTACAACAGCCTGAGCTGTGCCAATCTGAAGCCAGGAGCCAGGAGCTTCTTCTGAGTCTCCCATGTGGGTGCAGGGGCCCAAGGTCTTAGGCCATCTTTCACTGCTTTCCCAGGCCATTGCAGAGAGCGGGATCGGAAGTGGAGTAGCCAGGACTCAAACCGGTACCCATAGGAGATGTCGGCACTGCAGGCAGCGGCCTTACCTGCCACGCCACAGTGCCAGCCCCATAAAGTAGTTTTAAGGGGGAAAAAAATGCCCTGTATATCGGGATAATCTTTTCTTCTGTACCCTGAGATATAAGCTGTTTTGTGATCTAGAATCTGGGTTAGTTTAAATTCTGAATAAAATTGCAAACCCTTGATTCCTGTCAGTTACTAGGAGGGAGGCCTGGTGAAGGAAAGCAGACCAGAACAGAACGAGGCTTCTCTTCCTTACCTTCCAGAAGCCTCAAGTGCACCTGGTGTTAGATTACAGTAGCTCGGAGGTCCCTGGATTGCTTATCCAGCTGAGAGGAGGCAAGCCCCTTAGTGGAGTATTGCATTGTTGGCTGTACCAAAACCCCAGTAGCTGAAAGATAGGAGTAACATGGTGATGGGGGGAGATGTCTAGTTTCCGAGGTGGAGATTGCGACATCCCCCTGTCCCCTCAACAGATACCAGCGCACACTCAAGCACACTCACGGGTTCTTCAGGGATACACGATTGCTGATCTCTGCACTTAACTTGGGAAATCCCAGTCTGTCTTTCCCAAAAATGAGATATGATGGGGTGCAACTAGATTATTATGCAACTGTTATGTTAGGTAATTCCTACAATCTCATAATACTAATTATAATGCAAGGTGCTTCACTGTGGTAAGACAGTGACAGGCATGTGATTCTGCATCCTGACTTTGTTCTGTCACACCAGAGTTGCTCCAAGTGTCACAGCATTGGATGTGTGCATAAATGGGCACAGCTGTAGGACAACTTTTGACCTTTGAATAACACACATTAACCTCCAAAATACTCAGATATTTGAAATGTTAAGAATTATGAGGGTTTACCAAAATATTTGAGGAGGATTTTTGCCTTGACTTTTGAGGTTAGAATTTCATTTTACTGCAAAACCAAGTAAATTCTGTGAACCACTGATATTGCTCATCCTTTATACATGACTTTAAAAAATGCGAAGCTTTTTGAAGAGTTTTTCTATAATGCCTTACAAAACTCATACTGATTATAACTTATTTTTGTATAGATTATTCAGTCATCATTATAAACGTATTCTTGTATGCCTTCCCAGGCAAGTATGGTGCACAGCTCAGTAACTCTAAAATGCTCTGATTTCATATTTCTTGTATAATTTTTAGTTTTCAAAAATAGCTTAATAATGCAGCCTCCTGTTAGTCTGTCACTTCTTGGGGCTGTCACAGACTTGCCTCAACAGCTGTCTTCTAATTAATTTGGAAATCAGATAAACTAGTTAATAGCATTTCCAGAGTAAAACTGATATTGTTCCATATACTCTGATTATTCAGAAGACAAATATTTGGGGTTAGTATTTTTTGTTATACCTTGGATACTTGGAATGATGAAAACAGTAAGTTCTAGATGAGTGAAATGTGTGGTGTATTATAAATCACTGACGAAGATAAATGTAAAATATATAGAAAAGTAAGGGAAAAGAGTGGTAATTAGGCTGAACAAAAGCCTCAAGGAATTTTCCAAACTCATCTGTGTTCAGTTCTGTCAAAAAATTCCAAAGTATTCTCATCTATGCAGTGACTCAGCTGGAAAAATCAATTTATTGAGAATGTTCTCCTGTTAAATAGCTGAAGCTTATTTTTCTAATCATTTTCAGTGAAAGATGTTTTCATGAAAGTATTTTTATGCCTGCCAGGTATTTTTTAAAATCAGTAGACAAAATATATTTGTTATTTGAAACCACACTAAAGAATCATAATGGTATTTTAGGTTATTTATTGCTGTAGGTCATATCTTTGTAATGTTTGGTGTTTGATTCAGTTACCTTAGCCCAATAGTATTAATTAGTAATCACAGTTCATTTTGATGAAATACCTGGTTTCTTAGAATAGGGTCAAAGACATGAGTAATTTAAATGCTCAACATTGGATCAAAATGAAAGATAAAAGAGTCATGTTTACAGTATGTAGCAAACTGAATAATTTAAGCTAAAACAATGTTATGTTCCTGAATTATTTTTAATAACTAAACATATGTAAATGGTGAATAACTCATTTTCTTATTACTGGACAAAGATTGAAACTTAAAATACAGACTTAAACCAGATGATCTTTTATGGTTTCTTGTAATCCTGAGATTGTTTCTATGAAATAAGAATCCCAAAGAATTCTTTGATCTACTATAAGAAGGGTAAAATGAGTCTCTAACAGTGATGTTGGTTATTGCCATGATTTGAATGTTTGCCATCCCCACAAGGGGTCTTTAGCAGGTATGTATGTTATGAGGCCGTCATCGTCATGAGTGGGATCTGTGCCTTGTTACAAGGAGGCTGGGGGAGCTTGTGCACCCCTTCCAACACAAGAAGACAAAGAAGGCGCCATTAGTAGGTTCAGACCTGGCCCCAAATTGCTGGTGTGCTGAACCTGGATTTCCCAGCCTCCAGAACTATGAGCAGTAGATTTCTACTGTTTATTATGAGTTCCTGTTTTAAGGTATGTTTTAAAGCAGTGCAAACAGACCAAGATAGTCATATATACATTGAAATCTTTTTCAAAATTAAAAATTGGATTTAACTAAGAGGCATATCAAAATGGAAAAAAATGTGAAGTTGCTCTGCCTACGTATACTTATTTGATATAAAAAATAACATTTGATATAAAAAACATAAACAGAGTATGTAAAGAAAAAAACTGAGTTTTCCATTTCAGTTGTTTAATGAAGTTATTTGAATTCAATCACTGATGAGATTTTCAAAGCAATAAATTGGTGTAGTCTTTTGCACACGGTAGACATCATATTGAACGAGTGTGGTGTTTGTTTAGAGAAGTGAATTTAAGTTTCATATCTCAAATCTCATAAGCATAATAGAAAAAGTATGTGAAACAAAACTTTGTGGTTAATATAGTATGCTTTAGTGATCCCAAGTAGGTCATATAAGATTCAGGATATACTCAGAAAAGAGGACAGCATGAAAGAATTAAAGAAGAAAATAAAACTGCAAATCAAATTACCTAAATTTTATATTTTTGAAAACTGTATTGGACAATGATTTTTAAGTTAATTATATATATTCAGAGTTTAACCTTAAACACAAAAGTGCTATACTAAGCATGCCAAGTTATGTTGAACTTTCTTAAAATCCAGTAACAGGTTCAAAGAATCTCAGGTGGAGAATGTTTGTACTTATGTGTAAGTACGTAAAATTGACATTGAAACATTTTTAGTTGCTGCGATCACAGAAGAGTTTCCCCAGAAAATATTTGGTTAAAACTTTTGAGTCAAGGCGCTGGTGTTGTGGCATAGTTGGTAAAGCCACTGCCTACAACACCGGCATCCCATAGGAGCAGTGATTCACGTCCCAGCTGGTCCATTTCTGATCCAGCTCCCTGTTCATGGCCTGGGAAAGGCATTGAAGGATGGTGGAAGTGTTTGGGCTCCTACTATCCATATGAGAGACCTGCGTGAAGTTCCTGGCTCCTGGCTTTGGCCTAGCTCAGCCCTGGCGATTGTGGCCAACTAGAGAATGAACCTGCAGATGGAGATACCTCACTCGCTCTCTGTGACTGACTTTCAAATAAATAAATATAAAAAAAAAAAACTTGTGAGTCAGTAGTCTTCCTCTACTAGAAACAATGACAAAATGCTACTCATTGAAATGTGCTTAGAATTAAATACTTTTGTAAAGTAAAGGACAATTAATTTAATACTTGCTGAAACCTTATACACAAAACATATATACAGATATTGTAAGAGTTTTGATTGGCTTATTTTTAAATTTTTTATTGAACAATTTTTAATAGATTCACATTATAAAAGAGTGTGCACTTGTATAAAATTTCAGCTATTCAGGACACCATTTACAGCACCACTTATGATGTAATCAAATATCCATGTGCATATCAGTCAAGAGTGTAACTCCTCATTATTAAAAAGTGATAAGGAAAGTAAGTTTGAACCCTGGTGAAAACAGTTACAGGAGTGTGACATGAAAAGGGAATGCAACCCGAGAAACTACAAGGAAGAGCGGATGAAAAACCAGGCCTGCCACGCCTGAATTTTAGGATGCACTTGACCCTGGATCACTAACATCCTTCACACGAGTGCTGTGAACGAACTCCCTCTATGCAGCCACTCAGCAAATATCTGTTTCTTCAAAAATTATATATCAGGTGCCTGCCTTGTGTTTTGCCCCAGAGAGGCCTCAGGACTCTGCTTTGGCCATGTGACAGCCATGGTGAGTGTGTAGCCTTGACCCCTAATGAAAATAATCACCACCTTCCTTTATGAATTATATTCACGTTTTGGAAAGGACATATCTAAGATTTACCCATCAGTCACCAAAATAGTCTGGCTATGGTCTTATTAAGAATGCTGAATTCTGGCTGGCACCACAGCTCACTAGGCTAATCCTCCGCATGCGGCACTAGCACCCCAGGTTCTAGTCCCGGTTGGGGCGCCGGGTTCTGTCCTGGTTGCTCCTCTTCCAGGCCAGCTCTCTGCTGTGGCCTGGGAAGGCAGTTGGGGATGGCCCAGGTGCTTGGGCCCTGCACCCGCATGGGAGACCAGGATAAGTACCTGGCTCCTGCCATCAGATCAGCGCAGTGCACCAGCCATAGCGGCCATTTGGGGGGTGAACCAACGGAAGGAAGACCTTTCTCTCTCTCTCTCTCTCACTGTCTAACTCTGCCTGTCCAAAAAAGAAAAAGAAAAAAAACAGAATGCTGAACTCTGGTAAGGGGAGAAACGCTCTTGAAAAGGCTTACAGAATTCCTCATCCTAAAAATGTAGCACCACATACAGCATAGAATGGATAGCATCAAATGATGTGGCCTCTAATCCGTGACCATTCATAAGTTGTAGACCATGTTCCCTATGCATATATGCAAAGTCTGTATTTTGAGTATTAAACAAAAAACCTGAGATTTTAACTATCTCAGCTTCACTGCTGCTAAACTAGACTTTCACAGAACAAAGCATTTCTCCCATTTCTAAATACACACGACAGTTCCTATTTTTCAAAGCAGTAAAACAGCTGATCGTTTTGTTTGTAAAGTTTACTGTTTCTTTTGATTTGTAATTCCTAAAAAAGCTGAATTTCTCAGACCCAACAGAAAATACAATAGAAACACTGAGGGCCTGTGCTGAATGGCTCCATCTAAGAACAGCACAGAGTGTGTTGTAAATCCTCGTCTCCATCCAATTCTTCCTGCGTCCACTGTCCACCTGTGTAGTTGCAGTTTCACATTTAACACCCAGCCAACATCCTATTAGATTCTTCTTAGAGCAGGACCCTGAGAATAAGTCCAATGACAAATCACTTATTACTTATAGTATCAGCATGAAGTCTTAAAGAGTGTCTAATTTTCTAAAAGGCATAAAGAAACAAAGATTTCCCACCAATGACAGCTATGACCATGGAAAGAGTATACACTTGGCAATGAAGGGCCCATCTAGTTTCAATGTCTGTAGCTAAACATTTTTTTAAAAACACAGGAAAAACTAATTTTGAAATGGTAAATTTGTAAAAAAAAAAATGCTGAATTGCTTCTCGGCATTTTGGCTAAGATCAAGTGTAAAAAAAAAGGCTGAAATGCTATTGATAGGGTTCAAGTCCAGGCATAGCCTATGAAGTAAGAACTGGTTCTCTCTGCAATTTGGATGACACACGACCTTGTGACAGGCGTCTCTTAGCCGTAAGCACAGTTGGCATCATTTCCATGAATCCAGAGGCAGATCTGGGCATACTTGAGGGGGGTGATGCGTACAGCGACATTGTAGTCTTTCTGAACACCGTGAACATCCACCCACTGGTGGCCTGAATAGACGGCGATGATCTTGCGCTTCCAATTCTTTTTGTCTGGCTCTTTCAGACGCAGATAGACCCCAGAGCCCGTGGAGCCTGACTCAGCATCGCAGTACTGATAGAGGAGATCGTTGGATTCGTCAGCCACGCTGCAGAACCGGTAGACCAGCTGATCAGCCCTGTCATTATCAAACCCGGAGAAGTGGATCATTCCCCCAGGCAGCTTCTTGATGGCTGGACTGATTCCTAGTTCCATGTATTTCTTCTTGTGAGCCCGCTTCAGCTCCAGAAGAGCATAGTCAAAGTCCAGGGTCACGTCCCCACTCTGGCCTCTCGCCCAGCCTTTTGGAATGTGGGTATTCTTGACACGGGTCCACTGGAAGGAGGGTCGCCCGTCAGCCACTCTCTGACCCCGGCCAGATCCCTTCCTTCTCCTGCTTCCCTGGGCTCTCTCCTGCAGATTCTCTTTGGTGCTTTCTCGTTGCTCACCGCCATTAGCTTCTCTTCGGCTCCTCTTAGAATCCCTGCGTTTCTTGTTCCTGCGTTTATTTCTCATCTTCAGCAAACCTACTCTTAACTTTTTACTTCCTTTGATATACTCCCTCCCATCGTGGACGCAGTGGGCAGCAGTTAGGACGTGTTTAGGGGAAACAAGGATGCCACTACAGCCCGTGGAGAGCTTCACGGCCGTGCTGAAGGGGAAATTGGTTAAGAACCTTTTGTCCAAGATGCTGAACCTACTGTCTGTGCCGTACACCTGTCTCTTCTTCCGCACTGAAGCTCCTGTGGCGCTGACATTGCCCGTGGGTTCCAGAAGCTCACCTTGGACTTTCACCCTGGTTAAGGTTCGGGTGCCATTCTCAAACACGGTCTCATATGAAAGAGACTCCTCCAACTCAGACAGGCTGGGAGCTGGCAGTTCTTTCTGGCATTCGATGCCACACACTGCACTTACCATCATCTTAGCATCTGCCTCAAACGCAGGGCTGCTGAGACGGAAAGTCCTTTCCCTGACAAGCTGCGGTATTTTCCTCAAGTGCCACGTAAAATCCTGTTCCATTGCAGATCCAGCAATGAGGGTCCACCCGGGGGTGAAAAATATCAACCAAAAGAGCATATTTTCCATTTTGTTCTTTGATTTTTTCCCTTAAAAATAGAAAAAAAGAAAGAGAAGTGTTATGTTTCCTTTTCAAATGGGCTATATATAGCATTTCACTTAGGCCATCGGCTTCTGAATGTGCCTTCATAACAAACAGCAGTTCTTCTTTAACCTGACTTAGTACTGGTATTAAACACTCCGCACGTGGCTCACAGAGAATTTCAGAACCAATCCATTGTTTTTCACCCAACTTTCCCTCCACCAGCCCTAACCCACCTATGCCCAGCCCTACCCACCATCTCCAATCATTCTCTGCCCATGCAATTCAGTGTTTAAAAAAAACAGGGCCAGCGCCGCGGCTCACTAGGCTAATCCTCCGCCTTGCGGCGCCGGCACACCGGGTTCTAGTCCTGGTCAGGGTGCCGGATTCTGTCCCGGTTGCCCCTCTTCCAGGCCAGCTCTCTGCTGTGGCCAGGGAGTGCAGTGGAGGATGGCCCAAGTCCTTGGGCCCTGCACCCCATGGGAGACCAGGAGAAGTACCTGGCTCCTGCCATCAGATCAGCGCGGGGTGCCGGCCGCAGCGGCCATTGGGGGGTGAACCAACGGCAAAAGGAAGACCTTTCTCTCTGTCTCTCTCTCTCTCACTGTCCACTCTGCCTGTCAAAAAATTAAAAAAAAAAAACAAACAAACAAACAAAAAAAAAAAACAGGAGAAGGCCCTTTGTGGCCCAAATCACACTCTTCCTCCCTCCCTAAGCCTTCCAACAACCTAATTTCCAGATGATTTAGAAATAAAGATAGGAGGGGCCTCCATTGTGGCGTAGCAGGTAAAGTGGCTGCTTGCATAGCAGGTAAAGGTGCGGCATCCCCTATGGTGCCAGGTCATGTCCCGCCTGTTCCACTTCTGATCCAGCTCCTGCTAATGGCCTAGGAAAAGCAGCAGAAGGTGGCCCAAGTGTCTGGGCCCCTGCACCCAAGTAGGAGACTCAAATGAAGCTCTTGGCTCCTGGTTTCGGCCTGGCCCAGCGCTGGCCCTTGCATTCATCTGGGGAGTGAACCAGCAGATAAAAGATCTAGCTGTCTCTCTCTCTCTCTCTCTCTCTCTCTCTCTCTCGCTGTTTCTCCCCCTCTCCCTCTCCCTCTGTAACTCTGACTTAAAGTAAATAAATAAATCTTGAAAAAGAAAAGAAATAAGAACATATGTACTGTGGTCTTTTCCGTGGTTGGCTCCTTAAAAACAGCATCATAAATTCCTCATCTTTAGAATGTAAGTATGTAGCTCAGAGTTCAAAAAGCATTCATTGGAACACAGTCAATTTCCCGAAGATGGGATGTGCAGACCTTGCCGAAATGAAGACACAATGCAAAGCACTGGATAATGTTCTGAAAGCAGTGGAGGTTTTAGAAACAAATAAATGGGTTCATCTGCCATTGACCTGTTTGATTTTTACAGAACCCCTGGTCATAAAAAGAAAATATACAGCACAGACCATTCTATGCTAAAGTAAGAGAAACATACCAAGCATTTTTTTAAAAAATTGTGTATGGAACCACCATCCGGTAAAGCAACACTCAACAGGGCTTTATCGTGGGTTTTATTGTATGTTAAATTAGCTGTAAGAATTTACAAAGCACAGATGATGGTTCTGGATTTGCCTTTTGGAAAAACATGATAACAATGAGGTAAATTCCTTTTTCATCATGGGTCTCACCGTTTAAGACCATTAGTTTGTGTTATTTAGTTTCTTGGAGTTGCCAGTATTTAAAAGAAAGTGTCACACTTCTGTTTATATTTTCTTGCCCTCTCCCTCTTCTCTGGGCCCACTGGCATGCAAATACATGTGTTTAGCAGAGCTGGCGCTTATCAGCTGTTGCTTGGGGGGTAGTGGTTACATTCTCTGGAGCAGCAAATTTGAAACTCTGGGTCGCTATTGAGAGCTATGCTCAACGTGGTTTTTTTAACAGTAGCTACGCTATAGATGCTTAGTGAATGATTTGTACATAGTGTAGTGCATAGGCAATTCAGTTAAGTTATTCCTACCATACTTTCACTCTGGACACTTTCTGATCAACTCTGTTTGCATGGAAAAGCAAGCTACTTTGCAAAGGCCCAGAGCCAGGGTACGCCCATAAGATGGGTGCCCTGGCAAGAAAGACAAAGTCATCTGATGCAGAGTTGAACACAGGCATCTCCGGAGATGAGAGGGCTCAGGGCCTATTCTGCCATACTACTGAGTCCTTGCTTAACAAGGTAGACCCCAAAATGAAGAAGTATGTCTTTACCTTTAAAAAAAAAGCTAAAATCAGAGATGTATTGATGGCTCCTAGTTTATCAACAGACCAACAGAGATGATACACACACACACACACACACACACACACAGATGGTTCACTTCCCAGATGGCCGCAATGGCCAGAGCTGCACCCATCTGAAGCTAGGAGCTTCCTCCAGTTCTCCCACGTGGGTGAAGAGCCCCAAGGACTTGGGCCATCTTCCACTGCTTTCCTAGGCCATAGCAGAGAGCTAGATCAGAAGTGGAGCAGCCAGGGCTCAAAACGGCACCCATCTGCGATGTCAGCACTGCAGCCGGCAGCTTTACCTGCTAAGCCACAGCTCCGGCCCCATGTCCCCTGCTCTTTACCAAACAAAACATATGCCCTGTGCTGTAATCCTGCTGCTGGACTTTTTAAAGAAAGGCCCATACGTTCAATTGTATTTAAGGATAATTTCAATATGTCAGACTGACCTTAAATCTACTATCTTAGAGGCCTCAGTCAATACTTTTGAAATTTTCCTTTTTTTTTTTTTTTTTTTTTTTTTTTGACAGGCAGAGTGGACAGTGAGAGAGAGAGACAGAGAGAAAGGTCTTCCTTTTTGCCGTTGGTTCACCCTCCAATGGCTGCCGCGGCTGGCGCACCACGCTGATCTGATGGCAGGAGCCAGGTACTTCTCCTGGTCTCCCATGGGGTGCAGGGCCCAAGCACTTGGGCCATCCTCCACTGTACTCCCTGGCCACAGCAGAGAGCTGGCCTGGAAGAGGGGCAACCGGGACAGAATCCGGCGCCCCGACCGGGACTAGAACCTGGTGTGCCGGCGCCGCAAGGCGGAGGATTAGCCTGTTGAGCCGCGGCGCCGGCCCACTTTTGAAATTTTCAACACCATCAGTCAATTTTAAATCATGCTTGGGGTGGGGAGCATTTAGCCCAGTGGCTAAGATGCCTTCATCTCATATCCGATACCTGGGTTCAATACCTGGCTCCCCTGGGAGACAAAGCAGTGAAGGTTCAAGTCACTGGGTTCCTGCCACCTATGTGGAAGACTTGGATACTACTTCCTGGCTTCAGGAAGGGCATTAGGGGTGTGGATTAGAGGTGGATGGCACCTCTGTGTATGTGTGTGTGTCTCAAATAAGTAAATAAATAAAACGTAAACCATGCTTGGTAGAAAGCAACAACCGTGACGGGCGAGTTTTCTCACTGGGTATCTGCTCAACTCCACATCTTGGCAGCAGTTAAGAATGGTGGTGCAGAGCCCAAATCGCAGTTACTGACCTAGAAGATACACGAACCAGTGGTTCTCCGATCACAGTCCCAAGACCAGTAATCTCAGCCTCGCCCCGGAACTTAACCCCAGACCCACTCTTAGCAAGTGTGCTGAAGCCTGGGGAGGAGGTGTCCCAGCCTTCCAGATGACTTTGATACTCAGCAAAGTTTGCACACCACCGCAGCAGCCAAGGCCCTGCTGCAGCTGCTTGAGTCATCCCAGCAGGCGGTCTTTCCAGGGATGATTGCTTAACCAGGTTTCAAATGACATCTGCCTCATCTTTGCACACAAAATAGATTTATTCTGACTCTGCTCTTTTACCCTCTTGGTAACTGTTAATATCGAATGGCTCATCATTTAATAAATAGCAAACATAACTTTTATACAAGTGATTTAAAATGTCTGAAAAAAAAATCAAATTCAGTAGGCTTATATGAAATGTCCCCAACTCCATGTTGGGAGTTCGGCTCAGGGCACCAAAGGAGTAAAAGCTGTGCCCACATCTATCCGTGGCATGGGAAGGGCAGAGCCTTGTACCATGACCTCAGAATCACAGTAATAAGAGGGCATGGATTTAGTTGGCCTGTCTAATTTGGCCTGTAATTTAAAATTGGACAAATGCTTGAGTACACTTTCTTTGCGAAATCTAAGTATGCCTTGTGGTGAAATGTCAATGTAATGTAAATAATAGCTCTTACTGATGGAGCAATCCACAGTTCGTGGCACCAGCTCATTGATCTAACGAGACAGTCTCAGCTGGCAGTGCCCATGTCTTCCCTTACCCTTCTCCGTTCTCCTGGCTTCTGTTATAAGTGCCTTTGCTGGCACTTCCCAGGTGGTTGGATTTGGGGCTTCAGAGGCTAATTTTGGTTAATGAAGTGAAGTTGCAGTTAATGCTATCCACAATGAGTCAGTGTACATGAAGTTGATTACGGGTTGGATCATGAGACAAAGAGTAAAAGAGAATTAGGGGGAAGCAAGGCATCTTTCTATGTAAATAAACTCTTACTGGTGGAACAGATATAATGCCACGTTTGTTCCTTGCCTTGTAGTGGAAATGACCATACAACTGCAAGAGATGACTTACTATTACCCTTTCGAAATGTGAGGATGCTGTTGAAAACACGTGTGTATCTATCAGTGTAGTGGTTAAAAGTATAGACCAAGGATAGAGAAGACTTGGGTTCAACTTCCATCTTTACCACTTCCAAGACATATGAATTTGAGCAGTTCATGAACTCTCCAGCATGCACTTTCCCTGTCTGCAAAGTGGGGATAACAGTAATCTTATACCATGATAGACTTACTGAGATGATATAAGGGTACTGCAAAAAGTTTATGGAAAAGTTAAGTTTGAGGTAGGCATTTGGCCCAGAAGTTCAAGTATGTGAGCACCTAGGTTTAAGTCCCAGCTCTCGCTCCAAATTCTAGCTTCCTGCTAATGCAGACCCTGGGAGCCACAAAATAATGGCTCAAGTGCTTGGGTCCCTGTCACCCATGTGG